ATTTGGGGTGGTCCTGTATTTTCGTGTTGTGGATTTTTTTGTTTGAGCTTCGAAGTACGGTGAGATCGGGTGTGTGGGGTTTATATATAGATCGGTCCCATCTGACTTTTCGATAAGGATATGATCCTGGCTTTACGGAAGCCTCCATTGTATCTGCCCTAGGGTTGGTGGTTCCAGGACTTAGGACTGCTTGATTTTTTTGAGGTTTTAGCTTCAAGGTTTTCGGGGCCCTAGGGTTAAAGGCTATAAGGTTGTTGGTTTAGGCTTTTGATTTAAGTTTTAGGGTTTAGTGTCTAGGGTTCTAGGTTTGGGGTTTAGGTTTTAGGGTTTAGTCTTTGGGGTTTGACTAAGGTTTTTGGTTTAGGTTTTAGGGTTTGCTGTTTAGGGTTTAAAGGCTTGAGTGTCAAGGTTTCGGGAAGAAGGATTTGGGGGCCTGAGGGTTTGAGGCCTTAGGCGCTTAGGGCTTTGCCGGATTAGGGGTTTGGAAGGCTGGCCAGCACCCAGCTGGGCGGCGATTTTCGGGCATCCAGTGCGGCGACCCGGAGAGATTGGACGAACCTGGAGAGATCCGAGGAAAAGAACGCTTCCCGCATCGACTCAGTCGGGGACCTGGTCGAAAAGCTCTGCGAGCTCCAATTCAAGCTCGAGCTATACCAAGCCTTCAACACGGCTCGACCCCGTTCCATTCGACACGCCTCAGATCCCACGACTCCGGACCCTATCGAGGTCATGAGCAAACAGCAGTGGGAACACCGATTCTACTGGTGGAAAACGACTGGCGACTTCGCAGCCAAGCATGATCAGCTTGAGCCTCTTGATATAGGGTTTAGGCCGGGTTTAGGGTTTAGGCTTTTCCTCGCTCAACCTAGGCCCTAAACCCTGACCCTTAAACCCTAACCCCTAAACCCGAACCCCTAAACCCGAACCCCTAAACCCTAAACCCTCAATCCTAATCCCTTGTAAACCCTGAACCTGAAAACCCTAGACCGTAACCCCTAAACCCTCAACCCTAAACCCTAACCCCTAAACCCTATAAGCCATGTTGCCTTAATTCGCTTGCGGCCAGGCAAGCGAGACGCCGAAGAAGCCGAAGAGAGGGCGCCAGAACGATGAGGCCCGATCCTGGGACATTGGATTGTTTTTATGGGGTATAAGGGCTTAGGGGTGTAATTCCATTGTTTTTGGCGGGTATAAGGACCGAAGGGCTTAGGGGTACAGAGCATTTAACATTTCTGTTGTTGGTTGTGTAAGGCCTTGACACCAAGCCTTGAACCCTATACCACACATAGCAAACTAAGGGTATGCGCCGGGAATTATTTTATGATTATATATAAAATGATTTAGGGGGTTTTCCCGTTTAAGATATTGATACGGTTCTGGTTACGATTTCACGAAATCGTATGAACATCGTATCAGAACCGCATCCAAAC